AACATTTTTATAAACCCTAAAAGGAGAAAATCTGTACTAACAAGATCTTAATTAAAACATTATAGCAAACAAAATAAATAGCCAAATAAAATGTTTCATTCATTACAAGAACATGTAGCCTGGTATGAATTGACACAACTCGCCAGAACCCTTCCCAAAAAACAAAACAATACAAACAAAAACAACACAAAAAGAGGCAAAAAGGTCTTAAATATATAACTGAGTTGCAATGCTTTGTACACACAGGAAAAAAGATTTTCTTTAAATTCCACAGCCAACTTCAATATCTTCTACCAAGATATTGACAATCATAATTTAGTTCTCGAAGCTTACTCTATTCTCCAAGTATTCAAGACCAAAGCACTAAGCAAATATGGCACGTAATTTACTGCTTGTCCAACAGATATCCTCACTCATCTAACATAAAAAAGGGACAGCACTGCACAAAGTATAGCAAGTCAAGCAATGATATAATTCCATTACCAACAGAAAATCTAAGTTCAAACAACAATGAAACTTCAACACAAAAAGATAGTACTTAATCAAATTTTTAGTTATAATTTTGGTGGAGTATGCAGAATCATGTTCATAAATGAAACAGAAGATTGTATTGGTGATATCACAAATGTGTTTTTACTGTTGTCATTTACCAACTCTGAGAAGCCCGGGACGCAAGGCATACCACTCTTACACGTGCCGAATGAGAGTACAGGAAGCACTCTCCACTGCAAAGCAAGGCAGTTCAAAGCTGGGAGTCTTAGAAGGACACAGGCCATAAAAGTTTATCTCCATTTGATGTATAAGATCAAATATACGCTAAGGGCTTAATTAATTATTGTTGGGTAAGGGAATAAATGAAAGAGAAAGTAGGAGCAAGTGCCTCTAGCCTCTTACTGCTTTAGAAATTAGTCTGTAGGTAAGGTAAGGCACATATTAAAATCTATGCCCTGGGGTATCACTTTATCTTTGTAAATTATATCTTCTAATATACATGTTTAATTTATTAATGTTCTTGCTATAGCAAGGAGTCTTTCATGTTAAAGATTAGATTTAAAAAGGATTTTATGTTTTCTTCTAGTGTCTCTTTTTAAGTAGCCCTTTACTTCATCTAGAACTTAATTTTACATAACTACGTATTTTTTAAATGATGGTCATTATCTCAAAATATTCATCACATACTTAACACTGCATTATCTCCAGATTCTACTCTGTTTTCCTTGGTCACACTGGCCTTAAACTTTAAATTCTATCAGTGTCTGCAAGTCCTGGTATTACAGATATACACCACCAGTGGATTAAAAATCCACTCACCTACCTGCATAAGTCTTCCCAGACTTTCCAGAGAATTCCCAGTATAGATACAGTAAATTGATAAATTTAAGGGAAATGACATGTATATATTATTTCTGCAATGATGAAAATTGAGCCCCATCCTTTCCATTACTGATATGATTTCCTCCATTCCCTTCTCTAATTGGGACAAACAGATAAAACTTCAAGAATGCTATCTGCCTTAGTCAGGGTTTCTATTGCTGTAGAAGAGACACCATGACCACAGCGACTCGTAGAAAGAAAACATTTGATTGGGGTGGCTGGCTTACAGTTTCAGTTTCAGTCCATTATCATCATGGTGGGGAGCATAGAGGCACACAGGCAGATGTGGTGCTGGTGGAGGAGTAACTGAGAGACCTACATCTAGCAGGGAACAGGAAGTTGATTGACTCACTGGGCAGATTCCTGAGCATAGGAAAGCTGAAAACCCGCCCCCACAGTGACACACTTCCTCCAACAAGGACACACCCACTCAAAAAAGCCACAACTCCTAATAGTGTCACCCCCTACAAGATTATGGAGGTCAGTTATATTCAAACTACCACACTGTTAAACACCATTTAGCACAACCATCCCTACCTCTTCCTAACTTCAGTATAGAACTTCACTAGTAAGCAGAATGCTTTCTAATATACATTCACTCTATGTACTGTTTGCTACTTTACCAGACTATAAAAGCATCATTCAGTTTTTATTTTATTAGGCATTTATTTGGTCTGGTAGTAAAAATGTATAATATTGTATCTAGAAACTTTGAGGTTTTGGGGCGGGGGGGGGGGTGTCCAAGGACAGCCAGAGTTAGTTAGTAAGAGTCTGTCTCAAAAAGGAAAAGTGATTTGGACACTCCAACTCACATGCTCAAATCCTATATCCCCAACAAAACATTATTAGGAGGTGGGTTCTTTGCTTAGTAATTAGGTTTTAAGGACAATCTCATTCTTTATTAGAAGGACCCCAAGGGACTCTCTTACTCTTTCTTACCACTGACATGTCAGGAAGAGTGCTGTCCAAAAGTAAGAAGTGGGTCCTCACCTGGCACTGGTGACCTGGTCTTGGACCCCTAGTCTCCAGAACTATGAAACATGAAACAAGCATCTAGAGTATTTTTGTTATACTAACCTAAACAAAGACAGAAAGCATATAACCTCAGTGTAAAATGGCAAGTAAACACTGAAGAAATACATGTGTATGATCTCAGTGATATGGTCACTTCTACTACATGTACATGCAACACATGTATGTAGGGATAAGTCCCGCCCCTTAGGGGGTGTGTTCACCTCGGGCTAATGTTAGCCTATAAATTTGGCAAGCGTGCTCCCAGACGCTGCTTCTACTTTCCTGGTCTCCACGGACGGTGGTTCTGTAAGTCTATTTCTCCATTAAAGCTGAATATTTTGACAATCTGTCTGCATTCGTTTACGCCGTTACACATGTACATGAAAACTTCACTGCAAAATTGACATGTGAGCTAAGTCTTGAAGAAAGTAAGAAAATAAATAAGCATTTCCAAAGGCACTGTGTCCACTTGCCCTCAAACGATTTTAAGTAGCATGACTATATTTCTTATAAGATATTATGCTACAAATAGCAGCCTTGAACTGTTTGGTGGTATATTCACAAGGGAATATAATTTCCCATATCATGTACAAAATTTATTTATAAAATTTATTATTTTAAAAAAGTTATCTAAACCTCGGGGGGTTTTTTTTCAGTATTTTTGAGCTCAATATATTTCTAATTGTTCACAGACCAAAAAATGTGGCTTCCCATAGCCCTTGATTATTTGGCATTTATTAACTCCTAAACTACTGGGATAGGCTGAAATATTCAGAAGCCACAAAAAATTTAGAATTCCTAAAGCAGGAAATTATAGTTGTAAAGAAGACATACCCAAGTTTGTGTCTGTTCCATAATTTTTCCTTACATACACATGGCATTTTCACTTTTAAAGAGTGTCAGTTTTTGTTTTGTTTTTTCAAGATAAGATTTCTCTGTATGGCCTTGGCTATTCTGTAACTCACTATGCAGACCAGGCTGGCCTCCAACTCATGGATCTGCCTGCCTTGTCTCCCAAGTGCTGGGATTAAAGACGTGCATCACCACTGCCCAGTTGAATATGTTTGTTTTTTATTTTCCTTCCTCTCAAATCATGTTAAAAAGAATTATTCAGACTCATCCTAACAATGAGGATCCCCACCTGGCCCCCATTAAAATGTGAAAGTTAACTGGTTATGGCAGTATGTGCCTGTAACACCAGAGAAGCTAAAACGAATTTTATGTCTAACTAGAAGCAATGGCTAGGTTTATGTCAACTTGACACAGGTGAGAAGTCATTTTGGAAGAGGGAACCCCAACAGAGAATATGCCCCCACCAGACTGACCTGTGGACAACTCTATAGTGCATTTTATAATAGTGATAGATGTTGGGAGGGCCCAGTCCATTGTGGGTGGTGCTATCACTGGGAAGTTGGTCTGGGGCTCTATAAGAAAACAGGCTGAGCAAACCATAGGAAGCAAGGAAGTAAGCAGCACCCCTCCAAGGCCTCTGCATAAGCTCTTGCCCCCCTGGTTCCTGCTCTGCTTGAGTTCTTATCCTGGCTTCCCTAAGTGATGAAATGTGATATAAACTATAAATAAAATAAACCCTTTTTTTTTTGGTCATTGAGTTTAATCACAGCAGTAGAAACCCTAAGATACAAGATTTATAAAATCTACTGCAACTTTTAAAACACCTCCAGGTAAGATGAATTCTTCCTTTACGCTTTCTTAAAATGACATAGCCTCAGAAAGTGAGGTCTAATCACAGAGCCAGACTAAGTCTGTTTCCTCTAAAACAATGTGTCTCTATTGGTTTCTGCACCCCATGAGCCTCTCTGCCAATGCAGCCATCCAAATCAGACCAAACCAAACAGAATTAGAAAAAGCCCAGGTTTAAAGGATAAAATGCTCCCAGACGATTTTCCAGCCCCCCCCCCCCCCCCCCCCCNAAACCCATGTGTCTGTTTTCGGGGGGGGGGGCAGTTTAAATACCCTGTGGGAGTGGTCTTGAGCATCTCTGGGGGTGGGGTCATTCTTTGCTGGGCTTTCTAGGTTGCATCAGGGTTCAGAAAGAGATGGAGGAGGGGGCTTGGGGTTGAGCTTCCACCAGAACATCTATATCACACCTCTGGCTACACCTCCATGACAAATGATTTTTAACACATATCTTTCACAGCAAGGCAGACGTTTCCAGGGAAACCACAGGAAAACATTCATTACTGCTTAAGCTTCACCAAAAGGTGAACTGAGGTAGCAGTGCACTGTCTCTTACCAGTACTTTTTAACTGAGCAGTAGTTAACTGCTCTCCTGATTCTGGTTTTGCTGTCTGTCTCTATGAACAAATAGAGAAGCAAGTAACAAATTAAAACAATCCTACATCCTTCCAGTGACTCAGAAGCTCCTAGGAATCACATGTAGGTTTACAGGAGTGGGTATGTTAATGAGTAACATATATGCCAGATGATGTCATTCCATTCAAAAAGAAAGAAATCAGTGAAGCGCTAAAACACAAAAGATGAATTTCCTAGTCGGCAGCACAGCAGGGCACATAAATTTATCTAGGTCAAGATTCTGATTAATGAGGGAAAAAGACAATCAGGAAACTGTAACAGGAAAGGTAGTCACTCACCTCTCTCAACATATTATTCTCTTTTTCCTTTTGCTCCAAAAGACTTTCTAGGCGGTGGACATGCATCTCGGCATCTGCCAGCCGTCTTGTTCTTTCATGGTCTTCCTCTGTAGCTTTGGCAGAAAGCCCTTTGCTCTGTAACATCTCCAGAAGCTTCTTAATGGACTCATCCCGAGCACTTAGGGTTTGCTTTTGAGTTTCAATCCGCAGCTCCATTTCTTCCAGGGTCTTCCGCAGAAGAAACAGCTCTTTGGCTTGCCGCTCATGCTCAGTGTGCAGCCTCTGGAAGTTCTCCTCTGTCAGCTCTGCCACGCAAGGCTCTCCAGTCCTACTGCTACTATCCTGCTGAAACAGCTGATTCAAGTCCCTCTGAATCCGCAACTCATCCTGGAGAGCCTGGATCGTCATCTGCATGTGCTGGGAACATCACAAAAAAAAAAAAAAAAAAAAAAAATCAGCTTTCCCCTCAATTAGCAAAGACAGAGCAGCTTGCAGGCAGCTAAAAATAGCTGTAAGCGGTCTCAGAAATCTGCATTCAGCAAATTAGTATTCACCTTATTCTCGCTTAATTCAAATTTTAAAATTATGGTAATAATCCACAATTATCAGCAATTTAATTTGTGCTTATTCCCACCAGGAAAATAAGTATGGCAGTCCTTTACTTTTATAAGCCACCATAAAAAAGCCACAATCTAGACATCTCAAAATTTAATAGAAGGTATCTTAAAGGGACAGAGAAGACTATATCATCAGGAATAAGAACAAAATTTGTCTCAAAATACAAAAATATTTCAAAACACAAGATGACTTTTAATTATTGTAAACATTAATTAGCAAGTACTAGTATTTAATGAGTGGTTATATATAACTTTCTAATTATAATTTAACCTTCAGTATCATCACATACATCCGCACAAACTCATGAATGCACATACAAACACCAAAATCAGGCATAATAGTATATCCCTACATATCAGCATTTGGAGGACTGGACTAAAGCAGGAGTATCTCAAGTTTAAGGCAAAAGTGATACACACGAATCAAAAAGTAAAACTACTTAACATAAACCCTATCTTCATAAGGACTTGAAGGGTCTAAAATGCTGTTGCTGACCGCAGGTACAAACAACACTGTACTCAATCTCTCTCTACAGCTTATTCATCTTGCTTCGCTGGAAATTTATGGACACTGATAAGTAACTCTCCATATTTCTTTTTTCCCAATCCCTGGCAAAGTAACATTCCATTCTTTGACTGAGTGAATGTAATTCTTTGGTAAACCACTTCAAATTTACTGAGAAGTGACCGTGTTAACTGTCGACTTGAAGTGACCTGAAGCTATCTAAGAGGCAAGCGAGCAAACACACCTGTAAAGGTCACTGACGAGGCTAACGGAGGTGAAAAGACCCACACTACGAGTGAGCGGTGCCAGTCCCTAGGCTTCAGTTCTAAACTAGACAGAAAGGAGAAAGCGAGACTAGCACCAACATGTCTCTCTCTCTGCTTTCCAACTTGGGAACAACCCGACCAGCTGTTCCACTGCACCTCAAATTGTAAGCCAAAGGAAACCCTCCCCTTTTTACATTGCTACTGTTGGGGTATTTTGTCACGGCAACCGAAAAGTAGCTAAGATACTAATATTCTAGTAGGGAGGTGATTCTTTACATAACATTAGCAAAATAAACTTTCATTTTCTGTGTATGCCACAAATCTTTCCAATTGTGTCATTCGCCACTTAGCACTACTTATGATTTTTATAACATTTTTACTTACTCTGTGTATGAGAAAGGGAAAGGGAAAGAGAGCATGAGCATATATGTGGGTGCCAGCTATGGTGCAAGTATGGAGGTCAGAGGACAACTTTCAAGAGTCAGTTCTCTCCTTCTACCATATTGTTCTGGAAATCAAACCCAACACCAGCAGTTTGGCTGCAGCACCATTACCCACTGAGCTGTGTCCTCAGATCACTTATGATGACTTTAGTGTGTACACACACACACACACACACACACACACACACACACACACACACACACATTTATAGTACTAGGGAATCAAACCTTGGACTTGCTCATGCTAGGCCAGTATTCTACCACCTACCTATGTCCTGGCTCCAGACTAGATTTATGTTGTTTTGTTTAGTTGGCTTTCATATAAAGACAAATAGTCTTTTCTTTTTAGTCTCTGATTTTGGTATTATTTGCTTAGCAAGCAGTAAATTTTATTTCTGGTAATATTCAAACTCTAAAAATCATTGGTTATGTTTTCTAACATGGATAAAATTACAAATAAACTATCAGATATTTTAGTGTATTGGTGTGGGACAGTTCTATATTCTGTCGATTATATTTTAACTAAACACTGATTGGCTGATAGCCAGGCAGGAAGTATAGGTGGGAAAACCAGACAGGAAGTAGAGGTGGGGCAATGAGAACAGGAGTATTCTGGGAAGAAGGAAGTTCTTTCCACAGTCCTGTCCAGACCATGGAAGAAGCAGGATGTGACCTGACCCACTGAAAAAGGTACTGAGCCATGTGGCAAGCAAAGATAAGAATAATCGGTTAATGTAAATTATAAGAGCTAGTACAAAGTCTGAGCTAACGGGCCAATCAGTTTATAAATTATGTAGACCTCTGTGTGATTTCTTTAGGGGTTACTGGCTGTGGGAACTCCCAACAAGCAGGCCCACGTGTTACAATGTATGAATGTAATTTTCAAAATTCATTTAAGTTCCAGCAACAGATTTCAAATATTTAATAGCAGTTGGACGTTAGTGGTCTCAATAAAAAGAGGTATGGAAATGCTGATTCCCGAAAGCCTATTGTTCAAAATACAAACAGCTCTCAGAGAAAGCCCTGCAAAAGAAAAATGTCAGAAGTTAAACTAAGAGTGTTGGTTCACCCCTATAACCTCATCCCTGGGAGGCAGAAGAAATGAAACCAGCCTCAGCTACTGAGTCCAAAACAGAAATCTATTAAAAGTTTAATTCAAGAGGAGAATGATTTCTAAGTGTGGTTATTCCTCTGTCTTTTTAACATTATCAATTCACTGAGATCAGAAGTAATCTAAGTTAAAGCTAATAATCTTACACACACTTAACTGTGGCAGGACAATTACTATTTTGGAGAAGGAAGATAGAACTAGTCATGTGTCAACTTCATTAGCTCTGCTCAGAGGCAATTCCTTCAGGGTCACACAAAGCAACACCCCCACTTCAGGCTACAATTGAGAAAACTTTACTTTATTAAAAGTACTGCTTCCGCAACCTCACTCAAAAAAAAACCCACCTGCTGCCAACTATTTTAGAAGAGGGGAAAGAGCCCAAAAAGAAACTGGACAAATTTTAGAAGAACCCACTTTAAAATCATAACTGGGGCATCTGCTATCACCATCAAGCTAAAATCTTACAGAAGGGCTAACCAATGTGGTAAGATAAATAAATAAAACCTAATACAAAGAAGAAGTGAATAAACAAACCCTTACCCAAAGATTGTATGAGGAAAATGTGAGAAATTATGAAAACAGTTGTATAATTAAACATAAAACCAGATGAGTGAATATAAGAGCAATATAAAGGGGCTGGAGAGTTGACTCAGCAGTAAAGAACAAGTATTGTCTGTGCACAAACACACTCAAAAATACACACTAAACACATGATTAAAAAGAAAATATAAAAAACATCAACATAGAAATTTTACATTTCTCGATACAGGAACAAAACCTTTAAAAATCTATTTTTTTTACAGTAACTTTTTAAATTTTAACCTACAAAATACAGTTTTTCTTAAGGCATTTTCATACCTATTTGGCTTGGGTTGATTCTCCTCCTGCCCAGTCCACTCCTCAAGCCCCAATGTCCCTTCTGCAACAGCATCTGCCTGACTTCCTCTCCCATAGTACATCCAGTCTACTTCACTCCCCACACCCCTTCCTTACAGATTCTTTTTGCTCATTTCCGAAGCCAGCTCCTTCCAGTTTCCTGGCTCTTCTGCGCCTACTCCCACCTACATGTTTACATTTAACAATTAGAAGCTAGGCTCAGCAGATGAAAGAGAACACATGATATTTCTCTTTCTGGGCCTGGATCACCACACTTAATACATATTTTCTATTTTTGTCAATTTTCCTACAAATTTCATTTTTCTTTATAGCTGAATAAAAAAATTATTGTGTATATATATGGACCATATTTTCTTTATCTAGTCATTTTTCTATGAGCATCTAAGCTGAATCCATTTCCTTGTTACTATAAACAGCAAAAGAAACCACATGGATGTCAAAGTATTTCTGTGGTAGGATATGGAGGCTTTGTGTTATATGCGCAAACACGGTAGAGTAAGGTCACGTGATAGTTCTTTTAGTTTTTTAGGAAGCCTCCATATTTACTTGATGTGGGAGTGTCATATATCATTTCATTGGTTAAGCAATAAAGACACTGCTTGGCCCTGATAGGTTAAAACACAGGTGGGAGGAGTAAACAGAACAGAATGCTGGGAGGAAGAGAAAGTGAGCTCAGACTCGACAGCTCTGCACTCTGGAGCAGAGACGCCATGCTCTGCTCCCCTGGGTAGACGCTATCAATGAAGCTCCAACCCAGGATGGATGTAGGTTAGAATCTTCCTGGTAAGCGCACCTAGCGGTGCTACACAGATGATTAGAAATGGGCTAGTCCAGGTGCGAGAGTTAGCCGAGAAGAGGCTAGATATAATGGGCCAAGCGGTGTTTAAAAGAATACAGTGTCCATGTAATTATTTCGGGGCATAAGCTAGCAGGCGGCCGGGGTGCTGGGGACGAGCCCCGCTGCTCTTATTGCAACATTTACTTCCATCTAAACATATCAGTTTTCACTCCAAACAGTAAATGGCTCCATTTCACCACACTGTTGTCAGTATTTGCTGTAATTTGTTTTCTTGATGATAGTCATTCTGAGTGGGGCGAGATGCAGTCTCAAAGCAGTTACAATTTGCATTTGCCTAAAGGCAAAAGATGGTATGCACTTTCCAAAATATTTAATGTTCATGTCACCATTAATTCCCGTATTTCTTTTAAGAACTATCTACTCAGTTATTAGCTCATTTACTGATTGACAGTTAGGGATCTGTACCTCTTTATATATTCTAATTTTATTATCTGTTGTTTGCACTATAGCTGGTCAAGATTTTCCCCCATTTTGTGGGCTGTTTGCTCTGTTGACTGTTTTGGTTTTTTTTTTTTCCCACTGTGACAAGGTTTATAATTTCATTTGTGGATTCTTAGAATCACCTCCTTTGCTACTTCCTTTGTTCTATACTCAGAAAATTCTTGCTCACGGCTCTTTCCAAAAGTGCTTTCCCTATATGTTCCTTTAGCAGTAACACCATTTCAGGCTTGAATTTTTGTTACATTTATTTTTGAGACAGGGTCTCATTGTGTTGCTCT